CGAGCTGGCAAGTTTTTCTGGAAAAGCGGTGGCTTTTCCAGAAAAACTTGCCAGTCTAGACACAGCCAGTGAGTAAGTAGGTCGGTATTTTTCCCATCTGGGTGTCAGCCACAGCATGATGATTGCTCTAAAACCTTTCAGCTACTTAGTATATTCTGAAACCTTCTAACAAGTTTCCTCCCCTTTCCAGGCTGTTCCAGGGAGAGAGAAATCTGTTGTGCTTGAGTTGGCATTTTGTGTGTGCACCCTTTTTAATAACTCAGATGTGGATAAAGGTATAACCCCAATTAGGACAATGTTACTCATTCCCAAATTGGCAGTTCACGTACCACCCATGTTATTGATCTGTAACTCAGAAGAGCAAAGAATGACTGTTCCTGCTGTGGAATTTTCTTGCCTATCTGTACAGCTCGTTCAGCCTCTCCATTTGCTTGTAATAGCATCAAAATCATAGATCGCTTGGACTGACAAATTCTGCGTCAGTGTCTGATTACCAAAGTGAACAAAAGTTCACATCTGTTTCTTCGTAACAATTGAAACATGTCTTTCAAGTGCATTGTCTCTATATACCTTGAAAAACGGTCAATAATGACAGAGTCTGAATTTCCATAAATCTGCTGCCAATCTCTTCAAAGTGTCTCTGTTAGGAATGTTTGTACACTGTATGTTAAAAAGTCTCAGAGGAGTAGCCGTGTTACTCTGTAACTCTAAAAAATGAGTAGCCCTGTGGCACCTTAGAGGCTAACAAAACTTGTATAGTATCATAAGCAAAACACACTTTTTCAGATGAGCTGGAAGCTGGAGTGGAAACTGTATGGCTCAGCATTATCTAAGTTCATATTTCAAAAGCACAATATCATAAGACCATAAGAACAGCGTATTAGATCAGAGCAGTGCTTCATCTAGCCCACTATCATGTCTTCCCATAGAACCATAGAGCTGGAAGAGACCTTAGAATGCCATCAAGTCCAGCCCCCTCCTCTAGGCAGGACCAATCCCAACTAAATCAACCCAGCCAGGGCTTTGTCAAGCCGAGACTTAAACACCTCTAGGGAGGGAGACTCCACTACTTCCCTAGGGAACCCATTCCAGTGCTTCACCACTCTCCTAGT